AGCAAATTGTCTAACAGTACTCACCAAATTTATGGGCGGTTTTGTACCTATGGGAATACAACAACGAGACAGTTTCGCTAGCTAAAAGGGACGGTTGGAATGGCAGACAATGGCACGGAGGATGTGCACAAAAGAACCTTCCAGAGCTCGGAATAATTTAAATTTGTTGAAAAAATAGGCACAGTAATTCCTGAAAGATTTATCTAAACGATCTACTCCAGGAATAACGTCTTCTTCAGAGGATTGCATGGTATGTTACGAGAGGAAAATCGAATTTTCGTGAAATTATTATTATTATTATCATTATTAATAGTAATAAACGTTCAGATGTAGCATCCTTCCGGTCCATGCCACCCGAAAGAAGCTCGAGGGCTAGCGTACTGCCAATTAACTCAAGCCCAGACAAGGGAAGTCGAGAGCCAGAGGTCGGGTTCGAACCACGGACCTTCTGCTCAGCAAATTCGCACTCTAACCACTTAGCCATCTAAGTGACCTGTCTGTCTCCCCGAAACACCACTTCATTATGGAGTGATGTTCGTTTTCCTTGGTTGATGATGAAGTTATGACAACGACGACGATCATGGTGACGATCTCGATAATGATGATGATGATGATGATGATGATCATGATCATGATCATGATCATGATGATAATGTGAGTGAGATTAATGATCACCTCATCCGGCCTCAAGAAGATTGTCGCACACAAATGGCCACAACAATAGGAAGGTATTTACCTACGGATATTCCAATCCTTCATATCTCATTTTGGGGTGGGACTGAACACTTACCTGACGTTTTTTATCCAAATACTTATCATATAGACTCTGAAACAATGGTACTCGATGCAACTGAATCTGTTCAAAGTGGTTTACAAGGTTTCTTTCCGCCAGCGCTGCAAGCTTCTTCCAGGAGTTGATGTTTCGCCGGCTGTTCATAAGGCGGGTGATGTTGTTCTTGTGAAGCACGAAGAACTCGCACGGCTCAATACAGGTGGCCGTGCAACAGTAGGTCTTCATTCCGAAACCATATTCCAGTTCACCTGTAACGGTGTGAAACGGGGGAGAGTGATGTGAATGTGTGGCATGGGGTTTGGTACCGTCATTTTTCATGGATCATATGGTTTCATACGCATGTGATCTGTAACAGACATTTCCCAACATGCGCAGATCCAAAATGTTGACTGGTTGTATAGACCTAATAAGCTATTCATATCGTTGCTCATAAGGTGGACTGTTGAGGTGTTTTCAGTATAAGTAGTGTATTACATCTATACAGTGCTTCGCGATATCTCGGATACCGTGCCCAGTGAAACATGAATCGGCTTGGTGAAGCACATTTAGTTGCTTAAAAAATCAAAAACGAGAGATTCAGTTGGGTTAAGACCAAAATCGCGTACCAATGAGTTTACGTCGTTGAGTTCGTGCAGTATGGGTTCAAGTAGAACATATGGTTGACGGAAGCACTTGAATTATCACGTCCGAAGAAGCGATGATGGTGTGATTGGTTTTCTCGAAGCCTCAAATCCAAGAATGTACACTGTTTATGAGTTCCAGTTGGAGCAAAACTCACGCTCGGTACGTTCTTTCTTTGTTTTGGGCTCATCAGAACCACCGAAGGGTGGCTGTTCAGACGAGAGTCCTGTAAACGCGAATTATGTGAATCCCACAAACACCTACAACTTACCTCAGCGTTGCTGATCCCATAGAGCCGCGCGAGGCTTTGCAGGCACGGATGGACAAACACAGAGATTCTTCTAAGATCTCTGTGCAGCGGTTACGTCTCTCATACACGGGATGGGGCAGATCAAACCGCGTACGTGTGTCGTCTACCCTCGGCAACTGAACTGTTCTAACTCTGACACCACAAAGGCCAGAGTTTGGCAAATGCTGCCTTGGCCTTCCCACTTCCAGTCCGCCGGGACGTATGACCTAACCATATAGACGACCTCATCCACTATATCGATCGACTCGTCTGCAAGTGTGAGGTTTGGGCTTGATGACACCCAATCTTTCCACGAGTAAACCGAATGATGAACGACCCGGAAGAATTATTTAGGTTCTCCAAAATCCCGTGAGTTTTGAGTGCCCGATCTAACTGGAACGATATCGTCAGCGTGATCACTTTCTGTCTCTGGAACCCGGGGTTTTATTTCTACCTTTGAGTTGTTCAAAAAAGGTACAGAAGACTCGTTCTGCAAAACGATTCCGAATCTAAGGAGGACATCCTTGTTAGATACCAGTGGTGTTGTGGGATGTAGGTAGTTCGGATGCGCTGTTTGGTTGTTGGTCTGTTCGCCGAGCTTGGCAGTTGGATTGCAAACGTTTCATCACCAATCGCTGAGTGGTTGATCCGTCAACACAACCAGGACAGAGGGAGATTACGTTGCCGTGTATCAGAAACGTGTCGGAGATGACTGCACGACATCCACGGTAACATGGAATTACAGTCGCCTTCAAGCATTGGAGAAGAACCCTCTCAAAACGGCTGGGAAGGTTGGAGGCCGTGAAGAGGACAAACTTGGTCTACAAACGTATGTGCATCCGCTGTGACAAGATAACGTGCTACCAGAATACACGAACACAAGCTTGCC